ACATACATACATACATACATACATACATACATACATACATACATACATAATATGTCTCCAAGGCATATTGGGGGGGTCCCATGGTAACTATTTGCTTCTCCCAACCCTTCTACCACAGCTCGGTCCTACCGCTTGCCCCCTCCAAACAACAGGAAAAAAACAACCTACCAGCACCTTCAAAGAGGTCACCAATGGAAGCCCCTACACCACTAAGGGACCTCTATTGGACACCCCTTGAAGGTCCAGGTACGCAGGTTCCGAACCTGGCTTTCTGCTTGAGGAGCCAGTCCACAAGGCCTGCAGCTCCCTTGTGGCAGGCAAAGTGCAGCAACCTCTGAGCACGCCGCGTTCGGGGCAGACTCCGCGCGGCGCCGAACGCGGCGGAGCTTGACATAAAAACGCCTTCGTTTGCGCCGTAAAGGCCGGGTTCGGAGCGTTCACCCGACCTTGGGTACAACAACTTAAAACCAGGCGTCCTGGAGGGTGAGAGTGAAAAGGATGAGATCAATCTCCCAAAAAACGAGTCCAATCTGACCCAGATTGAAACCTGTCTTCCAACTACCTCACCAACTCCAACTGAAATGAGGACTTTGACCTGTACAGTAGGCTAGCAGGGAATGATTTTCCCTTCAGCAGTTGCGGCCTGGGACTCAGCAAAGTGTTTGTTGATTCCTGCAGGAAGCGATCATGTTGGAGCAAGGTGACTTCCAAAAGACTGCAGAATCACATCCTGAAACCAACAACATAGAAGCGATTCACCTGGCAACATCGTGTTTCCCCTGTTTTCCCTGTTTGTTTTGCCAGAGGATTGACGACGGACTGTGGGATTCCTTTCACCTGCCAGCTTACACTTCCCATCCCACCCGTGGAAACTCTGAGGACGTGACCCCCATCCGAACTGTTCCTCACTCGCCTTAGCAACAAGTCTACCAGGTGAATCAAAAGGGCGTCTAAAGATTTTTGATGTTAGCTTAAGGGGCGTCCAATGGACACGGTTTCGATCTACCTGGTACCTACAGACTCGCATGGACGATGCACTGAGGAAACCAGGCTTGGACGAAGTGGGCGTGTTTCTTTGTGACGCATTTGGACTACTCGACTCGGAGGTCTGAAGTCTGAAGTCGAAAAACATTAGATATAAACTATGTTTAGAATGCAGCGTGTTTGCCCGCAAACTTGCGCCGTGTTTGCCTGCAAACTTGCGGCGTGCTTGCCCATGTCAGCGTGCGGTTTTTGTGAAGCGTCCGCTGAAAGCAAGTCGCGGCGTATTTCTGGGTGAAGAGTGATTTCGTGCGTATTGTTTTTGTTGCAGTGCTGCCAACACCCCCGAATTGTGAACTCATGGCGGCTTCAATAAGGGTGGCTGGGTGGAGAGGCCGAGTGATGCTTCAGGGCACCGGCTGGAATTGAAAGACACTCTAAGGATCCAAACCCACAAACACAAGGGTGTGCTTCGGGGCCCCAGTTACCCCCGCGTTACCCTAAGACTCCGGGCCCCGAGCAGGGGTTCCCGCCCCGTCCCGGGATCGGATTGAACGGTCGGCTGGCCGAAAAGAATCCGGGAATCCTCCATTTTGCATTGGGAGCAAGTGTTAAGGCTGAGGTTAGTGATGTTGTTGTTGATGATGATGATGGTGATGGTGATGATGGTGATGATGATGATGATGATGATGGTGATGGTGATGATGATGGTGATGGTGATGGTGATGATGATGATGATGATGATGATGATGATGATGATGATGATGATGTTGTGTCTCATCTCCAATACATGTCTATGATGTGATTATATTGTAGATACCAAACAAATCCATCTATCGGCTTCTAGCGGTCACTTGACTTGAATTCCAGATATGTCCTTCCATTTGTGGCCCAGCATTGGTGGAGGTCCCATTTGTGGGACTCCTTGGTGAGGAAAACTTCACCGACTCCCCTGAGAGTCCGAGTGTATGTCTTGTCACTTTTTGAGCGCCTTTTGCTGTTTATCATTGTATAAACCTAGAGATTCCAACGACTAAAATATTCTGGGATTTGGAAGGTCTAGGAATATATAAATCTATTCAATTTCATAAGTTCAACGAAAAACTATACAAAACAAATTCGCAGGTGGGGTAGAATGAGTCAAACCATGTGAAGTTGCGCACGTGATTTGTTGGGACATCTTGTGATCCAGGCGAACCATGGGAACCTGCAGCCATGCGAAACCTGTCAGTTCCCAGGACTATCATATTTCAGGTCACTCCAAGTCTTACCCTCAGTGCACCGTCCCCACCTCTCCACGATCTTCCACCGTCCCCCACGTCACTCAACCGCCCGGTAACCGCCCAGCTCCACCACAGGTGCCCCCCACGTTCACGCTGAGGCCGTTGGGCATCCGCCCCAACCTCCGCAGCTCCACCTCGCGCGGGGGCGAAGCGCGCACCGCACCGGTCGGGTGGCACCAGCATCGGCCTGTTTCAATGATTCGTTGTGGGATTTCAAGGGCCCACGGCTATCCCAAAGAAGAGCTATCAGCAGTTGCCCCAGCAGCATTGGATGAAAAAGAGGTTTGTGAAGACCTTTGAGAGATCCAAGTGGCCCAAGGCAGGCGGATTTTGAGACACCAGGTCAGGTTGACCTCTTTGAAGGGTCGTTCCCGGGTTCGGCAGTGGTGGACAAGGGTGAACAAGGGTGAACGAACGGTTCGGGGGAAGGAGAACACACGGATATCCCTGAACTGAACGATTTGAAGAGGCGCCGTGAAGATGAGACGCATCACGGTTTGCTTCATATCCCTATAGGGCTCCAGTTGTAGCTTCATTTCGAAGGTGGGACTGGGGTGGGCGCCAGGAGGGTCCAAATACCTTCTGAGGAGGTACAACTAGAGCCGGAGTTTTGGGTTTTATGATTCTTGGCCATCCCCGGGACGTTGGGACGATGTGTTCATCGAAGATGGGGCGTACTTGGCGGACTGGAGAAGACTGCGTTGGGCGGCGCTGGTGTTCGGAGATGAATCGAGATCTGGGAGATGTGGCGATGACATGAGCCGAGTGGCGATGTCATGATCGGAGCAAAATGAACGTCTTGCTTCGCAATGCGATTCTTCAGTAGGGAATCCGCCCTCCAAGATTCCGTCCAGTTTCAACCCTCTGCCTTTAAGGCGAGGAACGTTTGTTTACGTGGTTATTGTAAGGACATCCAAACTTTGATTCGTCTGCCCTAAGTATCGAGGTCCAACCCCTGGTATGGAGGGTGCCTCGTGCCATGGAGGTGAAGACGTAAATAACATCCAGGAGTGAGTGACATGGAGTTGGGTGAAGGTGGGTGAGTGAGTGTGGGTGAGAGTGAGAGTGAGTGTGAGTGAGAGCCATCCAGTGAGTGGATGGGACAGGGGCACCCCATGGCACCTGTTCTAGGCACCCCATGGCACTCCTTAGTGACTCCAGGATCAAATCGTTTCTCGACCTCAAACTGTCCTGACTTGACGTCGCAGCCACTTGCGGAGAGCAGGACGGCACTAATCCAAAGGGAATGCAACAGTTCCAAAGGGAATGGTGTTTATTAGTCCCCACGACGCACCCCGACTGAAAAAACAAAAACAGCATGGAACATCATGGAGCTGTTGGGTGTTTCTTTCCTTTTGCAACTCTTGTGCTTTCAAGAGCGATGGCCTCCAACCTAATAGCAATGGCCTCCAACCTAATAGCAATGGC